CGATAAGTGCTTCATAGCCTCGAGTAAACCGAACACACATACGAATCAGCTTGCCTCCCGATGGGGCTTCTTGCGTTGTAATAACCTTGATTTGCTGGGTGTTCGACGGCAACGGCATCATCCCTAAGTTTTCTCTACGCAAGGCGGTTCTTCGCCTGAGACTTTTGCGCTGGACCCAGGCGTCTACCAGGTCTCGCATCCAGTTGGTGAGGTCACTCATCATGCCGTGCTTGGCCTGGGCCTCGGGTTTCGCCCAGCCCACTCGTGACGACATTGAGGCCGTGCGGGCCGAGGTAAGGTTTTTGTTCAGTGGGGGTTACGGTGGTGACACGGCCACTGTCGCTTTCTTTGAGCTGCTGGGTTGGGACTTGGAACCCCAGTTTGCCCTAGACTTGGGACTGTGCAGACTGGCGTGGCGATGGATCGCAAAACCCCCTGCCTGGCAGGAGCTGCTTCCGATTACGGCCCAACCCAAGAAGTGGCTTCAGTGTCTCCCGCAGCTTCAGACCTTGTTGGATAAAACGGGCTGGTGGCTTAACGACCAGACTGATGTACTTCACAGGCGTGATGCTCTGGGTGGGCTTAGGAAGGTCTGCATAGGGTTTGAGAGTTTCGGTGTAGTCAGGACTTGGCTTGAGGACTTTTTCCGGGGCCAGTACCTTAGACGTTGCAAGAGGATTTCTCACAGCCTTCATCGGCCACCTGAACCGGGTTTGGCCCAAGGACTTGATTTGCCAGCTCCCCCGCCCGGGTACCGTATTCAGTTCCAAGGGCATAAAGCTGTTTTGGCGGATCAAACTTCGACGTTCCACCGCCGCGCTGCCTTTCTCTCGGGGGGCACTACTTGGTTCTTCAACAAAGGGGCTCCCGCTGGCAGCCTTCCCAGTCGTACGAAATGCATCTGTGGAGAGCTACGGCCCAGCAGAGCTCATCTGTTGTGGAACTGCACTGCCACGGCCGATCTCCGCGGTGACCTTGCACCACCCTCCCACCGAGGGGAAGAACGACTCTTGTCACAACACTTGTGTGAGCAGCCTCTCCCGCCGCCTGCGGTTGATGAGGCAGGGCTAATTGAAGAGATTGCCGAGGCGATCCTAACCGAAATGGAGGCGTCACATGACATTGCGATTGCCACCGACGGCTCTGCCAAAAACGGTGTTGCTGCTCACTCGGTAGTGGTCCACAGAAGTGCCTGCACCTTCCACGGTGGCAACGATAGCGAGGATCAGTCCTCCTTTCGGGCTGAGATGTGTGCTCTAAAGCTCGCTTTGACAGCTGTGTGTGCCGCTGTCAACCGTGGTGCCAGGGGCAGTGTCACCATTGCTGTTGACTGCGAGGCTGCTCTTAAAGCGCGCTTCAACTGCCCTTCCATGCCTCTCTTTGGTGTGCGGCTCAGATCGCTGGCAGAAGAGATCAGACGTGGTGGCGTTGTGCTCCACTTCCTTTGGGTGCCTGCTCATAACCGCCACCCTAACTGGAATCCGCACAACACCAACCTTACCGCTGCTCACCTGAGGTCCTTGAATGATGCTGCTGATCGCTCTGCCAAGGACTGTGTTGCCCGCAGACTCAGGGGGTCGTTGAGGGAGCGTTGGGCCTCAGAGGCTGCTCGCGTCAAGGCCTGGGAAACCGCTGCAGTCCGAGCTTCGGCCCAAGCTGCACAGCGACTGAGCGAACACCTTGTAAGCTGCACTGCTGGACGACGCGACGACTCGACGACTTCGGTCTGCCCACCTTGTCCTCCCCCGGGGAAGGGTCCCTAGGGTTTAGTCCTGGTTACCCCTCCCTCTTGCGTTTTCAGGCGCTGCGACCGCCTGTAGACTCGTGTCACTGCCGCTTTGACGAAGCCTGGGCTGCTGCCCTTCCTGGCTTGTGCCTCCCGTGTGTGGGCCACCTAGCGGTAAGCCTGTCCTCAGAGGAGCTTGTCTACGGCCAAGCTACGGGAACCTCGAGCACTACGTCTGGCGCCTCCTTGCTGCTGGTGGCTGGGCTGCTGGCGCGGGCGTGGAGCTCTGAGTTTAAACGTCGTCGTGAAAACTGAAGCTCGCCTACTGTACAGTTTCTGTAAAGTTTGTAGAAGGCTGCGGCCTGCGACCCTTGGTCTTGTAGCTGTACACTTCAGCCGTGGGTCCTTTTGGTGGAGAGCTGCACACTGTGCTTTTGGCTCTGTTCGTAGGTGCGCACCCCTGTCGTTTGTACGCCGGCATGGGTGATGCTTTTAGTGTAGTTAGTGGCTGACTGCTCCTGTGCTTGTACACCCCGTTGCACATATGGAGTCTCCTCACCCGAGTGTCGTTGTTGTTCAAGCCTCTGGCTTCTGTGAACACCGACATCTTGTATAGGTTGTAGCAAGCCGACTCGTGGTGTACAGTTTTGAGTCCGTGTGCGTGAGGTGAGACAGCAGACACGTCTTGCGCGCTTGCGCGCTGGGCGCGAGAACCCAACAAGCAAAAAGAAGCCCTGCTAAGGAAGGCTATGACCACCAAGTTTCCATCCACGCTAAGCCTCACTGAGCTTGTGCGGAGGAGCTATCTGCGAAAAACTGTGAGCTCCAGCTACAGTGGATCAGACGAGACTTGAACCAGCTCAGCTAGCAGACGACCTCACGAACGAGAACTTCGCTAGCTTCAGCCCGAACTTCAGGATTGCCTTGAAAGGGGAAGCGCTGGAATGATAATGGCGTGTGCTAGGTCGGCTCTTGGCCCGTGCGACCAGCTACTTTAACGAACTGGGCATGGCTGAGAGGACCGAGAAGCTATGAGATTCGCGAAGCGAGCTCGCAAGCTAGGTCCAAGGTAGCCCTCCGGCTTCGCTAGGGCCTTGAACGCGGTTTCAGGCTGGAGACTTCCTCCGGGCGACAGGGAACCTTCGCCACATCGCTAAAAGGAGTGAGTGAGCTGTAGGTCGTGAGCTAGAGCCTTAGCTCAGCTGCTACGAACCCTAGGCGGTGACTTGGGGTGGTGGTGGGACTGGAAGTGCTAGCTAGCGTACCGGCCAAGTACACCGACAAGTTGACACAGTCGCGCCTGGACGTAATCCCCAAGCTCGCAGAGATCACATCAACGCCGCCGAGTACCTGGATGCAGGCACACGTGGAATCCGTGATCTACCCATGACGGAAGAAGAAAGAGCAGCGGTCGGGCCACCCGAACCAAAAGGGCGCCCACCGAACAGGGGAAATGCGAACAGATGGCGCGACAAAGACACAGGCAAAGAGAAGAATCAAACGCCCGCAGATCGAGAACGTGAACGTGATCGTTACCAAAGTTGGCATCGCGACCATACACCATGATTCATTGCCTCAATGCCTATGCTTCCAATTCGCTCAGCCATCAATGTGACACTGGCATTATCTGTGTGATCTTCATCACATTGCCGTTTTCTTCGGTGACTTTCTGATCCTGATGCGTATTTTCGGGGGATCGTTACTGACGAAGCAAAGTGTCACAACGTTCTTAATTGGGAATTCAAGGCTCGTAACAATTTTCGCAAAGTTACGGCGAATCAAACATGTATTTCGGTCAATCGCGACTCTCTTCCTTTGTGAGCAAGACCCAAGGTCTATTCATTGGGGGTGCGAACGGACCTCGATGCCTCGTTCAATTCGTTGGTGTCACGATAAGAGCATGAAAGTGCGTTATGAGAAGCAGTCCACAGGTCTGTATATCAGTCTGTGTGGATCACAGTACCAACAGCACATCTACTTCGCAGAGTGTTGATTTCCTTCCAAGTGCTCCGTCACAAACGCAACTTTGTGACTCAAAAATCTGCCATGAGCTACAGCTTGCGACAGTGGGCCGCTGATCCAAGTGTTCGAGCCATGCCTGCAGGGATACGAAAGCGGGAGTGGAACATCAACTATTACCCCAACAAATGGCAGCCACGCATTACTTCAACTAGCTCTGAGAAGTGAGCGACCAAAGAAACACCAAATCAAAACCGTCGCCAATTCAACATCTTTTATGTCTTAATATCAAAAAAAAGAGTAGCAAACGAAATGGCGCGTTTGTTTTTTCAGGGAGTAATAACAAGCTTCCTCAGTTCTCAAACAAAGGCAAGCAGAGTTTACACCGTCGTGAACTAACACTTTTCGAACACGGTAGAATGAAGAATTGCGCGGTTGCCCATTCCCGATAATTTTCGATTTGTTTGACCGTTCGCTTGTGACATGTGATGCCAGGGTCTTCAGTCGAGAGACGAAGCTCCTGACAAGACCGTGTACAAGCTGAACGCCGTGACTTCAGAGCTTTCGGATTGACTTTCCAGCTCATTTGCAGCAGCACACTACATTGGCAGAGGCTGATGTAAGGGCTTTTGAGAAAGCAGTGAAGAACAACGACAAGCCTGCTGCACTGGAGGCTTTGTCGGAAATCCAGTTCGTCCATGCAGCTGTGACATGTGTTGCTTCCGGGATGGGCAGTGGCAGGCGTTTCAGAAGTACCAGAATGACATGCCACAAGGCGCTCGGATAACATGCGTTGCGGCAGGGTGGCGGCCTTATTGATCTACTTGAGGAATGGCTCGCTTCGACATCCACAACCCGATCACCTACGAGGGACCCTCCCCGTCCTGTCTTCAGTTGCTAGTTGCTGCAAATGTGCCATCTGAGCCCCTTCATCGTGGGTCGTCAGCTCTTCGTGATTTGCCTTCGCTCTCAGGGAGACGGGTGCACGAAAGACCATGTAGCTTCGAAATCAATGCCACAGACGCATATGCTGACAGAGCCATGCCATCTCCTGCTTTAGGATTGTTGATAGAGTCAGTGGTTCACAGCCTGTGGACTAGAAATTTTCTGCGCAGTTTCAGCGCACGTTTCATATCGATCAGCAAGGTAGGCCAAGCTGCAAATGATGTCCTTGCGTGCATTGCATGCATGCATTGCTTGGCATTGCAGGGCTTTCTTTGCATAGCCCCGATGTAGTCATCTTCACTCCAGGACCAGCCTCCGCAGTTTCGTTTCTGCGCAAGCCCCCGACAGTAGCAGCGAAGCCGGTGGAACGATGGTGGTGGAGACGGCTGCAAAGCCACCCGGGAAGGCCGTCAAGCCAGGCAGGAATGAAATCTGACAAACCTTGTGACGCATCCTGCTTTCTTGTAATTTTCATGCTGAGCTGCACGGCCAGATGACCCAACCGTGGTCATTTCCAAGATGTTGTCGTGGCTTTTGCGTCACGGCATCAAGCACAAAAGCGCGGCTTGCCTGGAGAAAGGAGATGGTGTGGAGTGCAGAGCATTGCAGAGCCTTTATTCAGTCCCTTCTTCTGTGTGCTTGCTCAGGTCGGTCTGAATTCGGACAGTGCCGATGGTTGGGTCAAGGTGACGGAGGTTCTCACATCCGAGTATTTTAAAGAAATCACAAAAGAGATCCTGATGAAGGCGGGGCTGGTCTGACGTCCCTGTCATGTGTCTGGCTGAACTTGGCGTAGGTGATTGTCGATTCCAACGCTCAGAAGCTTCGTCTTGGACCAAGTCTCGCGACTACCGGTCGTGGCATGGATGCATCGCATTGTGTGTGGCCCAGGCTACCAGCTCTCTCCGGACTGTGTCTACATAAGAGCATACAGCAGAGATGAAAAGAAGGCGCTTTTCAGATGCTTGCCAGAGGCAGCCCAGTTTTTAAAGATTCTGTTGAGGCTTTCAAGGAAGGCGCAGCAACCACAACTGCATCAGTCTCTGTGCCTGCTCCTCCGGAAAAGAAAGGCAAGAGCCGGCCGTGCCATCGTGCCAACGATGTTTTTCTCGGAATGCGAGAAGAGAGCAGAGCGCTTGCCAGCAGGGACACTGCGTGGAGAAGCCCCAGAATTCGTGCCTTCGACGAGCCCTATGCTTGCTTCCATGCAAAATTCAGGACGGCATGATGTGCAGCGGCAGTGCCGTACGTCGATTCATGATGCGTCCGATCCAGGATACCCTCCATGGCCGCTTCTGTATCCCCAACCGACGATGATGTCCGCATCTCGGGGGTGCACCAAGAATGTCGGATCAGCCTGGAGCACTGAGGCCGTATGTGCCCGTCCAGGTCCAGCGCAAGGGCACCGGGGAAAAAGGTCAGCCCTCGGGATGATGTTGGAGAATATGTGTGCGTGTCTTAGATGCACTTCGTGCCTTGTGCAGTGAAGGTGGTGGAATATTTCGTGCCCCGTCTGCAAATTGATCGTCCGGGGTTGAAGTTGTGTCAGAACCAGCGAGGCAACGAGTGCAGAGCATCGCAAGGTGAGTTGGGAAGAATAAAGTCTTTCTACGACGACAAAGGCTGGACAAGCAGACGCAAAACTTTCAGTCTGATAGACGTTGCTGCTCGAGGTTACGGTTTCATTGAATGTCCCAGAGTCACGCAGCAGTTTGGCCGCGACCTCTTCGTGCACAAGGCGAGTGTTCTACTGAACTCTGAGCGGATCGAAGTGGTGCCCGATGCAGGCACAGCTGAATGGTTTCAAAGTGGGTGACGAGGCCGGTGCTACACGATCGGTTCGCGGATTCCACGAGGCCAAAGCCCCGTCCAGGTTACTGTCACTGTGACGGTGAATGAGGCACGGTGGAGACAGCTCTGCCATGGAGCTGGCAAATCCATTCTACTGTAGCCTTGTCATTTGGTTGCGTCGTGAAGTGCCAGTCGCGGTTGGAAGCTTTTGACCAAAAAAGCTCAGCAAGCCCGTCCGACACCGAAGTCCTATGCCGTCGAAAGCCTTGCCGCAGGCTGGATGGCCGCAGGCGCAGGACTTGCAATCTGCCACAGGTGCGCACCGTGACGTACATCTTCGGCTTTCATAGTGAGAGGCTCGTAGTCTGAGGTCAGCCAGCAAGTGCATCGACAAAGGGGAAAGGCAAGGGCAAGGACAATGCCAGCTGCAGTTCTCACTGTCGGACTCATGGACCCTCACTCTGACTTGAATGGGTTAGTTCAGTTGAGTTGGTGGGCAACCACACATGTCATTGTTGAGGACTCAGGTAAAGAAAAAGGAAAAGACAAAGGCGAAGGAAAAGGGAAGGACGGCAAGGATGTCAAGGAAGGCAAGGGTAAGGACGGTAAGGGCAAGGACGGCAAGGGCAAGGAGGGCAAGTCCAAAAATGGTAAAGGAAAGGATGGCAAAGGGAAGAGCAAGGACCATCTGATCAACAAGTCTATGTCACTGCGAGTCAGTGCATCTGAAGCTTCTCGACAGAAGGAGGTCGGCATTTTTGAGCCTATCTCATTGTTACATCGCGAGCTGCTTGCACAGGACAGAAAGAAAAAAGAAGATATCCCAGCAGAAACAGTTCAAGAAGAGGCCTTTGCATGATCTTGTTGCCAGGCTGTTGCAGAATTGGTCATCGGGCTCTGAGAACGGATTCTGCAGCTGCCACGAACGAGGGAGTTCAGCATTGTAGCTTCGCTACGGCCCAGAAAGGTCGAGCAGCATTTATGGAGTGTATGAAACATCACTTGAGCGGAGGAGTGTACTTGCATCTGGAAGTCCGACATGGTTTTGGTGGGTTCCTTCGCTTTCTTTCCCTTTTGGTAAAAGCTGCATGTGCCAGTCACTGCATATAGCATCTTACCCGAGTGTTGCCATTCATAATTCATCGTGCTCTTGAGGAGGCACTGGGAATTGTTCCTCTTTGTCATGTCTGAATCTTCTGGATTAAAATTCCTTGGATGCGACACTCCGAAAAGGTAAAATCAGACGTCCGAGGAGGAATACATCTGCTAGTATACTGTAAACTGTGTAAAGCCTCCGATTAACGCGTATGCCTGTCCATCTGTTATGTTGCAGGAGCGGTAGCTGTCCGCACAGCAGTGATGCTTGCTCATGCTTGCCCATGTCCATAGCAACTTTTTGCCAGAGAAGTGCCAGAGAGGACGTTCAGAGCAGTTCCTTTTTCATATCTACGTGCGATTGCTACTTCGCTTCAGGAGAGATTTTGCCAGTCTTTTTCTGGTAGCACGATGGCCAGAGCAAAACATCCAGGCACCTGGTCTGTTTCACCCCGACAGGAGACTGGGAAGTATTTGAAGTGTGAAGTCTTTGATCGCCCCAGAGAATGTGGCGACCCCACTCGCGATTTGCCAACATTGGCAGTCGCTTTGCCACCTAGCCCACTGCGGCCATGTGCTCTAGGGGTGTGGGATTGGATGCGAAGGCTTCACATGGCTTCGCAGCTAGTACTGCAGAGAACATGGCCTGTCATTGGTGGAGTATTCATTATCATCGATTCATGGAAGCAGCTGCGAGCTTCCCATCATAGACTATCACTAGCAAAGATGCAGATGGCCTACACGCCTCAGCGCAGAGTCCGCTGCTGCTTCACCAGACAAGTCTTCAACAAGGAGCGCCCCCCCCGCAAGCCGGATCAACGTTGCTTTAGATTGCATCTGGGAGTAAGGCAAAGTAGCGTCGGAATAATTGCAGACGAACAAGGGCAGTGTCCGCAAAACCTAGCCTTTGAGTGAGCCTAGATGCTTCCTGCCATCGAATGAATCGTCGCCACGGCAGACGACTACGGCTCAGCTGTCGAGTGAACGACTGCATATTTTAAATCTGAGGGGCGCGTCCTAGTCCAGCTCTTGAAAACTCGTTTTCTTTGGTGAACAAAGAAGCACAAGCGTTAAACGATTAGGTAGGCCTCACCATAATCATTATTTCTGGCTGCCAGAATTCTCTTGCGCATTTTGGTCATGTGCAGCTGCTTGTCTGTGTTTGAAGTATGGCTGGCAGCGCTTGATTCGACAAGTTGTGCGAGTTGAAAAGGATGCAACAGAGATGCTTCTGCGCTTGAGCTAGATTGCAATCGTCACTGACTGGCCAGATTTGTGCTTGGACGCTGACCGTTCTTCGTGACTGACTCAATGGCATCAATGTCGAATTTTGGGTATATTTTCTGCCCAGTCTTCCCACATCGGCCATGAGCAAGTGCGTTATATGCATGCCTTTCATGTGTCCACGGTGGATGGAGCTTTGAGCTTTGCCTACCCTTGCAGGGGTACATTGATCTTGCTTTGGAGTCCGGCTGTTTCCAGACGGTGTGGCCAAGACGCCGGCGGTGAAAATATGCCGCCAATGGAAATGCTTCAGATGTCATCTCCGTGCCGGGCTTATGTGTTTGGCCAAATTCAAAGATGCTCGCCTGGCTGTTGCAATTAGTAAGTTGGTGTGGCAGACGGGTTGGGAACAAGGTCTTTTACTAGCACTGGGTCGACTGAAGGATCATGACGCGACTGATGTACGCGTGCCCGACGACCCGAGAGTGTTTCGAGATCGTCTTCTGGTCATTTCATCCGGCATTAGTGCCCTTTCTCACGCGTCGGCCTGGACCAAAGCATTAGGCCTGCTCTGTGCATCCGCAACGTATTTGGTTCAGCCAGATGTCGTCCTTTACAATGCGACAGCTGCAGTATGTGGTCGTGCGTCTCATTGGCAGTGGTCGCTTCACCTTTTCGATCGCATGCTTGGAGGCAGGGTCCACACCGACTCAACGAGCCTTAACGTGCTGATCAGTGCGTGCGGCCGTGCGTCTCGGTGGGAGTTGGCGCTGGCCTTTACAGTTGGCGATTGCAAGCTACAAGGGCAACGGCAGCTAGATGCGCTTGGCGAAGCCAAAGGGGTTGGAGCAGCCATTGATGCGTTAGGTCGAGCTGGGCAGTGGCGCATTGCTCTGTCCCTATTGGACGAAGTGCGAACCCGAAGCGTAGCGAGCATTGGATGCTTCAATGCTGCCATTGCAGCGGCCGCTCGGAGTGGGCAGTGGCTTCAGGCTTTCCAGTGCCTGGAATCCGTCCGTCGCTGTCGCCTGACCCCATCGGCAATCACCAGAGGAGCAGAGATCCGTGTCTTGGGTTTGGGCGACAAGGGCCAGGGCCCGAGAGGCTTGGGCTGGCAAGCTTGCCTCACTGCACTTCTCCAGCCAAGCCCGTCTTTGAACCTCCATGTGTTCAATGCATCGCTCAGCACCTGCGGACGGGCTCGTCGCTGGGAGCTTGTGCATTCATTGCTGCAGCTGATGCCCCGCATGGTCATCGTCCCAGATGCGTTGAGCGCATCAGCCGTGGTCTCTTCATGTGCTTCCTCATTCAAGTGGGAGCATGCCTTGGAACTTCGTCCAAGGGAGTCAGATTGGAAAAGCCTCGGTCTGGAGTTTTCAGCATCACGCTGCATCTTTGTCTGTGTACCACATGTAGCATGCTGGTGGATGCGACGCTTGCTGCGTCACATGGTTTCAATTTTGCACAGGGCACCGAAGACAGAGCAAGAGTTTGGGGCTTGCTTGCTTGCGTGGGACACCTTGAAGTCGTACAATGCGGAGCTGTCTGCTGGGAATGCGCTGCGGCACAAAGAGCGTGTCGAGCGGCTGCACGATCGACGGATTGCCTCTCCGGCATTTACCTGTCTGGGGACGCAGAGTAGAAGGCCAAAGTCAGCTGAGGATTCTCGCGCGGCTCATCCCGGTCTTGCCGTCCTCGATCTGATTTATGACTTGGGGCCGGAACTTTCCAAGACCGCACTAGAGGCAAGCGCTCCGAAGAGAGATTGATGCCGTCCCCGCGTTGCCCGCATCCAGAAGAAAGGGACACATCGCATGCTCCACATGTGACAGTTGCATCTTGCCAGAATCCGAGTGCTGTTGAGTGCGACTTCACGTTGCCATCTGTTGCCAGCTGCGCACGTCTGGTGCATTGGAAAGCTTTTCACCCTAGCGCGAAAGCACTTGAAGGGCAAAAAGCATTGTCAGATCATGGTGGTTAGAAAGCATTTAACACTGGCATACATATGCCTGAGTTCTTGTGGCAACGAACCGTGTCTCTTCCTTTGGTTTCCCAGTTTGTGGATCGGTAGGATAAAGGTGATGCCGTCCATACCCGGCTCAGCCTGGTGGCCAGCAGGCGAGAATCAGTGGATGATTAAAGATCTTGGAGGCCGCGAAAGCCAGGGCCCTCACAACACTGCAGAGGCTTCATGGATCTTATCGGCAAGTCTGGATTCTAAGCTTGCCGAAGTGTTTCCTGCATACCGCCTACTCGGCCTACCCTCTGGGGGACGGCAGCTTGGCGCGGGTATCGCAAAAGATACTGGGACCATCGTCAGGGATTTTGGAGTTCGAGAAATCACGAGTGCCGCGCCCGACCCGCAAGCGTCACGACCCGGCAGACGGCCACGAAGGCTTACTCTTCCACGTGATGCAAAGGCCGAGAACGCAGGTAATGTCTAGCCTTGTCTAGCACTCCAGGCCCCTAGCGTGTTTCCGGTCTTCTATAGTGGTGGGGATGATGGGTCGGACAAACCTTGCAGATGCGACCTGGACGTAGACAGAGCACGGGAATCTGAGGATCCCAAGGCTTTAAGATGCGGGCGTGAAAACAATGTGAATCCTCTGGAGCGGGTGTTCTCGGATACCTTAAGAGATCGTGCGCTTGGTCAAAATAGCCGGTCTAGGTGTCGAGAAAATCTACCGCTTCAGGGCATCTGTGATCTGATGAACTAGCTACCCGTGACATGACCGTTTCCTCCTCCAGACCTGTGTGTTGTTGACTTTGACAGTTCCTATTATGATCAACATAAGTTTTAGACATCCGGGCCAAAGCTGGGGCAACCCCCGGTGTCAATATTGTGGTTTCTTTGGGACAAACGTTCTTGGAATCCAGGGCCAGAGCTGGGCAACCCCTGGCATCAATATTGGGGTCGCTTTGCGTGCAGAGAGGTCGTAGGGAGGCTAGCTGGGTAGGCTGCTAGGCTAGTTAGGATCGGCAGATTCACCACGCCCTCCACCCCACCCCCGGGCAGGTGCCGAATGGGCTACCCACCTGCCCTCCACCCCACCCCGCAATGAGCAGGGGCAGGCAGGGCAAGGCCAAAAGGCGTGCACCGAAAAGTAGAGGGAACGTGTCCCGGAGCGCTTGATCCCTGCACCAAGTTTCAGCCATTAGGCGCACACCGAAAATCAAAGCATGATACGATTTCTGCAATGTTGACTTCAGCTGAGCAGGGTAAGGTTGCAACATGGGGTGCGCAGCAGCCTTGTTCATGGACGATCGGAGAAACATTGAAGGCAGCTTGGAAGATTCCGGCTGCGATTTTCCTACAGAGGAATGGCGAACTGTGCGGGCCTTGCAAAGCCGTGTGTTCTTTCCGCTCTGAAAGCCAAAAGGATGTCGTTGAAGTGCCGCAGCTTTTTGTCTCACCATGCGTGTTTTCATCACATGGGCCAGAAAGAATGCCTTAATTCTGAATGCCTGGTAGAGCCACGCAGGCAGGTCTTTCCGAGAAATTGAGTGTGTTCTTATCTCCAAGGTTTTCGACCATCTGAACGTCGTGCAGCCCTGTAGCACTGCAGTGCATGTAGCGAAAGAAGCGGGCCTGCGCTCGTCGGATCTAGTGATGGAAGGCTCGTCGCCTCAAGGCATGTGCGAGGGTGCGATCTGCAGAAGCTTCTGGGGGTCGTCGTGTTCCATCTCCGAAGCAATCCAGCGCATCAGAGCAGACATTTGCTAGGCGAATTTTGTGCGAAGCTTCATTGCACCGCCGTAGTCGCGAGATTCACGTCTGGGTTGTCATGCGACTGGCCGATAACATCTAGCTTCGCGGGTGCAGAGCAGGCGGTAGATTCCGACGTGTGTGAAGTCCGGTGGCGAATCGTGTTAGGGCAGTCCAGGATCGCCTGTGGCTATCGACTTTCTGAACAATGCCGGAGCACAGGCGGATGCTGGGAAGCCCAGACTCTCTGTGCCAACCTTGAAGCTGCAGAACCGAGGACCACACACATGTGTCCGGGACGGGTTTTCTTAAAGTGGAGGCGGCAGAGGTCGCAGTCGAGTTCCTAAGGCCTCAGGAATCGTTGCAGGGTCAAGCCTTGACCACCAGCAGACGGCAGTTGCTGCGTATCTAGAAAACCGGTGGTGGTGGAAGCAGCACCCTCCGATCTTTCCGCTCCAGCCGGCACGACTGCGCCGGAGACTCGCGATAAACTTGAGCACTGGAATCTTTGCACACTTCAGTTGGCCAGCTTGGCAAAGGCACCGTCCTGCAGTGGCGCAGCATGCACCGATGTACAGAAGGGGTCACCGACTGCTTCCGGCATGCTGTCTCTTGAACCCGGCGGTCAGTACGTAGGCACAAGTTCTCCACAAGTTCTCATTTTGAGCACGACACCATTTGTACCCCTTCACCCTTCCCCTCTGTTTCCCCCACATTGCTGATGCGGTTCTGGTTGCACGTGAGGATGCCTGGAGCCTGGATTGCCCGCCTCGTCAGCTCCGTTTGTCTTCCATTGCTGATGTGGTTGGCTGTGATGATGCTTGGAGCCCGCCTCGCCAGCTCTGTATCGCTTGCCGCCCTCCAGCCTTGGCTGGCTTTCGGCTGGGGCTGGGGTTCGGGGACGCTCCGTACACCTATTGGACGCTGCCAGGAAGGATGCGTTCTTCTGCGATGTACATGGGCACGAATTTCTGCTGTGTGTTGGGAGTCGTACCAACGGTGATTAATTTTCCCGTGAATTTCTCTTCCAACATTCAACGGTTTTTGGTACGATTTTTGTTCCACGTCCATACGGGGACATGGAATTAATTCCTGCTAGAATGGGGTTGCCGCGCTGATGAGTGATTAGTGTTTTCGCTGTCGCACGAACTTCTACAGTCAGAGCGGGCTGCTGACAAGTGGTGTAACTTCGGATTCGCCTCCCCAACGAGGAAGGAATTAAGGTATCGTCGCGCAACAGGCTTCTTGCAAGGAAGATCTTGGAAATGATTTAATTGCTTTCATGCACTCGCATTTCTTGCGGGGCACTTATCGAATTAGTTGTGGCTGATGTGGGTGCCGGGGTAGGCTATCAGACATACTTGTCTTCTCTGGTTTCATCATCATGCAACCATCCCGCGGTTGCAGTCGTGTGAAGTTTTGATAGCATTCTCTGAAGTTTCTTTCAAAAATTGCTGTGTTCAACACCCTGCAGAATTTGTAACATCGGATACAACAACGCAAACATCGCAAACGTTGTGCAGCTGACCGAGTGTTGTCAGAAGACCGGCATGCTTGGAGCCGCGTGGTGCCGTACATCGCGAGGTGGCATATGCACAGATGTTCAAGCCCTGTCCAGTCCAGCTTGCACTCTTTGTGCAGCAGCCAACGCAGCATGATCAGTTCCGAGTGGGCGATGCAATCGTTTGTGGGTCCTGGTGATTACCAAAGTCTTGCCGCCACGTTTCATGTAGCATGTAGTGTTTGCACAAGCACTGAAGGTCGACACTCTGCGTCGTCACCGCTGAAGTGATCAGCAGATTTCATTCTTCTGATCTACACTCCATGCGCAGTTGGTTTCACCAGAGAAACACCCGTTTTGCTGTTGTTCCGGGGATTCCATCCATCATAGGCTAGAGACAGTTAAAGCATCGACACTTGAAAGCCGATGGCTGAGAAGGAAACGCAATTCTGATTCATTTGTTTTGTAGTGTGAAATTTTTGCGGAGAGAGATTTATACATCGCGATTTGATTGCTGAGGCTTGGGCACTCCCCAAGACACCGTTAAATCCTGGCTTAGTTACTGTCTACCTTGGGTGCTCCTGAGAAACATGTAGATCCGGATTCAATTGTGTCGTCCCGCTAGCCTCCTAGCATCAAGGAAGCCTTCGCATAGCGTTCAGGAGCCACTTAAAGCAGGAGTTCATTGTGTCGAGGTTTGGGGTCGGCAAGGTATCGATGCCGACCAAATGGTCCAGAATTGATTTCTTGGATCCAACAAGGAGAACAGTGACGTTGATTTTCTGCAGATGCAAACTTCCAAGGTGTCCGGGGGAAAGGAGAAAAGTCAACCCTTACACCCGTCCGCAGCTCGGTCCAGACTGCTGAACCTTCTTTATCCACCATCTTGCCATGTAGGCGCGAGGATAAACGGTCGCTGCAAGACAGGCCATAACATTTTGCGCACACTGTCCGCAGTCCTTTGTGGTGCTGTTGAAACTGGAAGGCCTGCTTATGCCTTTTTGCAGAACTGTCGTCAACAAACGGTGGAAGGGCTCGCAGGCCTCCGAGGAATGTTCGTCACTGATATGTTTCTGGCATGATGTCTGCGAGCCTGCTAGGCTACTTCCGTGACCCAGGAGACAGAATGGGCCAAGCGCTAAGTGTAATTCAACTTAGCCTAACTCGAAGATGTCGGGTCTGAGTTGAGGTGAAATACTGGAATTGACGCCGGCAGAGTTTACTCCCTGCGCACATGGAACAGAGCATGAGGAGCCCGGAAGCGCGAAGTAGCAGCCAAGATTCAGAATGGACTCATGACTACAGACCTTCAGAACCGAACATTTTTTCGAGGAGGATGATTCGCATAAGATCGGAGAGCTACCCAGCACTGCAATATGCGGAAACGACATCACCGCCAGCTGTGCTGGACCCAGTTCTGTCCTCCAGTGGTGCTAAAGACACTACAGCAGGAACGATTGATCAGGTTTTTATGTGGTGGGAGAGCTCTCCAAGAATGCTGGAGTGCAACCCTCTCATGCTTTGCATCCGTGCTCAATTTGCGGAATCGCATTGCAAGGCAT